CGGCCTACGCCGGCTGGAGCCTGGACCTCGTTTCCAGTCAGACATTGGGATCCTCTGTAGAGTGCCGCCAACATCAGAGAACTTCCGCTCATCCATCCATATCTCTGTTGGCTTCAGACAAACGGTGCGACTCGGCGCAGTTGGAACCCATGAGACTGCGTGGCACTACTGCGCTGGAACTGCCTCTCCTGAACGGGTAGCGTATGGGTAGCCGCCCGTAAAAGGGCGTCCCATGCCGCCGCGGCTCCTTTGATGTCTGAAGAGGCTCCGTCGCTTTGTGTTCCACTGAACGGCGCCACCGGATAAGGAGACGCGGCCCCTCTGTCCTCGTCAGCCTCTGCGCGAGAGGCCGACACCGCCCGGCACGGCCCTCTCCTTGTCTTTGGACCGTTCTTTGCAGGCGTGGGATGGCGCCGTCTGTTCTCTGTATATGGGAGAGACGCAGGTGGGTGCCGCTAATTCACATGCTGATTATTTCTTTCATTTCTTCTCTACATAGGAGCGGTGCGTATACGGCGGCGAGATAGACAATCGGCGGGGGCGGATTGTTTGATGCCGTTCGCTGGAGCGGCGGGGGCGGGGGCGGGGCGGCGGCTTTGATCGTCGCCCCCGCCCGACCCGGCGCCGCCCGGTCGGACGCCGCTCTCTGCAGGGTCCGCCTCCGCTGCAGTTGCCGCTCCGGTGATGGTTTGATTGGTGGACGGCCTGGGTGGTCGTGTCCGACTGTCTCCCTCGGACGCCCTCCCCCCGTCCGCCCCCCGGTTTGCACGGTTGGATGTGCATAGCTGTCCGGCGGGGTGGCGCCTGGACAACGCCCTCCGTCACCTAGCGGACAGTGCCCGCTGTCCGATTGCGCGATCGTCCGCCGGACGTTTTTCATCATTCATTGTTGACCTCCAGATGTATTCCTATCTGCTCTAAATCTCCTCAATCTCCTTTTAAGCACTTCCTTGGGATGATTTGTATTTTCAACGAAAACGCCCAGACTCTGTGAATGACTTTGTATGGAGCGTGTACCTATGCTAGGGTAGGCATAAATGTGTTCTCCGGTGGCTAAATATGGGTACGCAGACTGGCGACTGCCGACCTTCGCAATTCCTGACGTGCCGCCGTGACTTCACTATATCGTCACGCAATGACACTCAGCGACACTCGATGACTTCTGATGACTCCTGGTGGCGTCTCTGTCCGTCTCAAATCCATTCCCATGCCCTGCCCGCTGTGGCGTGACGTTGGACGAACCAGTGACATCTACCGTCTACCGTCCGTCGTCTGCCCGCCGCCAATAGCCGTCGATGGGTGACGTGACTGTGTTGGTTCTGAGGATAACTCGCCGCCGATAAGGGCATTGTGTCGTGTGTGGCGAGGTCAGAGTCCACGCTGGCGTCACGGGCCGTCTGTTGCGGTGGAGCGCAGGCCCGTGTGAGCGCTCGGCCGCGCACGGTGTGGACTCCTCCGCCGTGATGTCTTCGATGGTGATATCATCACCGTCTTTTCCTGTGGATGGCCAATTCAATCAGTGCTGTCTTTGTCCCACGTGGAGGCACGCGGTGTCTCCAATCTGAACAGCCCTTTGCCTGGATGAAACTGGGCTATATTGGGGATAAAGAAACTGCTCCCCGCAGGTTATGTGCCAAATTAATGTTCTAATTAGTTTCGTTACCGTGCGGCTTGTTTTCATTGCGGTTGCGGCGGCCAGGTCTGGCGCAGTACGAGTTATGTAGGTGCCGGCTGGCGAACGAACATTTTCCCGGAAAGGCTGACTCAGCCTGATCAATATTTCTGGGCCGTGCTGGAACGAAGCGGCGCCTGTTTGGACAGCGGCTAATCTGAATATTTGTGGACGAGTGGGTACCAGGTCGGCCCATCGGACCTAGATTGATCGGCCGCGGACCGAGGGGCGTGAAATGATGACCCGTTTCCGACGATCGTTAATTTAACTTTCCTCAGCATAAACGTGACACATTGAATTTACTGTATTTACTAAGCCATTCGTTTGGTACCGAAAGCAGCTGAGGAGGGTTTAGTAAAATATACGACAAGTTAAAGTGACATTTTAATTCGTCACGGGGCGGGGACCGGTCGTAAAGCGGTAGGCGGCTCGTGAGTTAGGGCCGCCGTTGCAGGCCTGTCCGGTGCTATGCTCCGCCCACGGGGCGTGGTCTGCCGTGCAGGCGCGGGACGATCAAAGACCCCGGGGTGCCAAGTCACTCGCCTCGCTAAACTGTCTGATTGAGCTCCACCCACGCGGTGGGGTGGAGCACCGGCTCTGCGTCACCTGCGCTCCGACCCCCTGTCGGGCAGCATCGGCAGAAACAGCGTCCTGCTTCGGCCGTTACGAGCGCTGACCACAGTTGGACGAGATGTTTGGGCTCCTGTCATGGTGGACACTGCTGTGATTGACGGGCTGCTTCAAGAGGCCATGCTGAGTGTCAAAAACTCAAGGGTGTCAAGTTGTCCTATCGGTGTCGAACATTCAGATGTTTGCTCTTCCCACGGTCAAAATACCCATCGCACTTGGCGTAGGACCGGCGGCGGGAGCCGAGCTATAAATGCTTGCCTCCTCCAGTCGTCAGAGCCCTCCTCCGCTCCCGTTCTGTACCTTGTCGGTCCTCGCTCCCTCCTCTGACTTCCCCTCTCCTGCCGTGGCACGCAGGCCTCTGTCAACAACGACATGGCATTTTCGGCACGCACCGAGAAAAACAACCGAGTACGCCCCGTCGCGCCCCCATCCCGCCGCCTCCTCCTGGCCTCCGGTATTTTCCTTTCATTTCGCTCCTCCGCCTCCCCTGCTCTCCCGGAGTGCCCGATATTTGCCCACAGTGCACCGTTCTGCGTCACGCCCTCCTCATTTTCAATTACCTTCCTCCTCCCGCTGCGCTTCGAGTGTGGCTGCGCTGTTTACTCATAGCTTAGCCATTCCTCCACCCCAGCTCATTTCTTTCTTCTTATCATTCCTCTCCGCTCATCACTTCTCTCCCTCTTGTCTTCCCGATCTACCCTCTCATAACGGTCCCGCATCCCCTCTCCTGTTTGCATACCTATAGTCGAGCTGACTGATTGTCGCAGAACATTCCTGCCCCTTTCCTCCCCCGCTCTTCTCTCTCCTCTTCCTCCTGCATTTAGTTATTCCCAATTCACACCGTATTCCAGCCCCGCCCTTCCTCCCACCTCCACCTATAAACCCGCCCCACCAATCGTGATCACCTGACCTCACCTGACCAGACCAGCATCGTTCGTGTGCTCGCCTCCGCTGTTATCGCTGGAAAGTCCACCCGCCCGGGAGAGATGCGACACCCCGGTGCACGCGGGCACGTCACGCTCGTGCTCCAGCCCACGCCGGTGCTCGTTTGTGCCTGGCATGGCCGGTGTGTCGTGTGTCGTGTGTCGTGACTGCACAGCAGGGAGCCGGCGAGGGTAAACTGGATCACATTGCCCAGTCGTGGCGATAGATGGCGTTGTTCGTGTCCAATAGTCATCTGATGACTGCTTAGTGACATATTTCATGCCGTGACGGATGACGGATTTGATAACGGTCGTGATGACGTCTATAATGTTTGTGGGCGTTCGGTGACGCCTTTGATGGCGCCTCTAATGACGCCTGATGACGCCTTCAGATGTGTTTTGATGACGGTTTTAGGGGCGTCTTTCAAAACGCCCCTGAAGACGTCTTTGATGGCGCCTTTGACGGCGGGCTCAGTGGCTGTGATAACGAGTCCGGTCGCCATACTGGGGGCAGTGGCGGCCGGAGGGACATACGGGCGGCACTAGTGGTGCTCTGAGCGGCCCGAAACTGCCCCCGACCCATAGCTCACGGCCCGGAACTGCCGCGCGACCCATAGCTCGTGGCGGATTGTCGCCATCGGCCGTCCCGGTCGGCGCTCTATCCTCCGAATGGCTGATTGACACGGCCTGGAATTGGCCGTCACCGCGGGACGATGTGAAATGGAGGTGTCGGGGGACATCTCGGGCCCACTGCGCTCGCAAAGTTCAGCCGTAAATTTAATTTTCTTCCGGGTCTACATGGGCGGAATGCAGAAGTTTTCAGTAGCCCCGCTGCTTATCGAAGTTGTGGCGAGTCGTATCGCCCATGAAACGCGAACTCCTGTGTCAGCGTTTCACACTTCAGGTTCGTGAAGTGTGTATCGTGGCTGGCCTCGCTGTTTCCACATGTCATCTATCGAAATGACGTCGCAGTAGCGAGTGATAACTGATATCACTCTCTCGTATCGCTCAAACTCGGCTTCTGACAATGTCACTCAAAGTGACCAGCATCTAATCTTGAACTGATCGACCTCGAGTGCCTCTGTGACAGTTTCAAGTGGTTCTCAGCAGCCGTGAGACTGACCCCTGCCGCCGGAGCTCGACAATTAGCGCCGTGGCAGCGCTCTCTCCCTCTCACCTCTGTCTACATGAGCGGTGCACGGCCCGTGATGGGCTCTCACAACCTGACTGCAGGAAGGGCGGAGCTGTGTTGTTCTGCATGGCAATTGGCCGGTGATAGATGTTCGTATCAGGCGGTGTGCAAATAGGCCATTGTCATGCGATAAAACACGTCCTAGGCCTGCAAGGACGAGCGAGGTTAGAAACATAATCATTTCGGGGTGAAAGCTGAGAGAGCTTGGTGCTCTGCAGCGCTGTTTTCGCTGTTCATTTGACACTGATGGATACGAGGATGGCATTGTCGTGAGGCAGCGGTGTCAGAGATGTGCCCCGCTCTGTGGTGTCTGAACATGAATGTGTTGGACATATCTGCACTCTACAGAATTCATATGCGTATGTCTGTCCCCAGTGCACCCCGCGCCTGACACCACCACGACATTGGCGGCTCAATCCTGAATCATGATGATCTACCTCCATGGCATGTGTGATTGTATGCCTCCCCTTTGGTGTCCACCCAAGACGGCTGTACAGTGACCCACCCAGCACCGTTTGTCGTCTGTCTGACCGCACCTGACGCCATGTCCCCCGTCTGATGTCATCTTCTCTTGCCTTTCCAGGTGATGTGCTCAGCGGAGTCTGCTACGTGGGTGTCATGAACGTGCCGGCCCTGCGCGGCTTCGTGCTGGCACCACTGGTCGTCTACCTCGCACTTGGCACCGTGTTCCTGCTAGCCGGCTTCGTCTCCCTCTTCAAGATCCGCACCATCATGAAGCACGACGGCACGCGCACCGACAAGCTGGAGAAGCTGATGATCCGTATTGGCGTGTTCTCCGTGCTGTACACCCTGCCGGCCACGCTCGTCATCGCCTGTCTGTTCTACGAGCAGGCGTTCCTCGACCAGTGGACGCTCGGCTGGCAGGAGCGCCACTGCGGCCAGCGCGACCCGGCCTGGTCCAAGTACGCCATCCCCTGTCCGCCGCGCGCCACCGTCGGTCCGCTGCCGCAGCCGCACTTTGAGTTCTTCATGATCAAGTACGTGATGTTGCTGATTGTCGGCATCACCAGCGGCTTCTGGGTGTGGTCGCGGAAGACCCTGCAGACGTGGGGTCGGCTCTGCGGCCGTGGAAGGCCAGCCGTGGTGTACAGGACTCCCGATGGCCGCATTGTGCAGCCGAATCATGTGTGAGGTGTAAGAGTGTTGTGAAGAGACTTCTGGGGAGGGCGGGATGACTCCGCGAGGGGTGAGGACACTTATGGAGTGCCCGAGACTCGGCAGTGTTACTAGGACGGATGGGACACTCATTTGCCCTCCGAGTAAAGTGTGATAGCAGAGAGACGCGAGCCCCGGACTCAAATGGTGCGGGACGCACAGGGAACTGTCGAAAGGCCGTCCCAGCAGGTCACACTGCTCAGCATTGGAGCTCTTTCTCAAATGACCTGACCGGGTCACACAGAGGTCACAGCCATACCGGTCTCCCGGCCCAGCTCACGGAGCCAGAACAACCCCAGCTTAGCTCAGGGCCAGGGAGTCTACTGAGCATCATCACGAGGCTCGCCCCCACACCACATACACGAAGGCCAGTTAAGCGACACCTGCGCGCTGCAGGTTTGAGCGGCAAGCGTGGGCGGTGGATAGTGGTCGGTTCAGGTAGGCCGGGCACCAGCGATGAGAGGCTATTGAGACACCCCAAGTGGATGTAGCCATCCAGTGGACCGCAGTGGATAGTCACGACTGGACAGAAACCCTTGGTATCCCTCGAACAGCTGCTAGAGTGGACGACTTCTATCAAGTCCACTATGGAGTTTCCACCTTCCAGATTCGTCGTCATCGGGAGTAGCAGGAGGAAACAGTGGCTCATTAGACAGCGTAAACAACCTGCAGAACACCACTACCAGCAGCACCAGCAGCAGCAGCAGTAGTAGCAGCCGAGAACAACTGTCAGCCAGCGCACCAGGTGAGCTTTAGTACGCCGGATCCCACGTCCGTGGCGACATATGGCGTTATGTGTGTTCACCTGTCGTCTCTCACGTTTTCAGTGTCCGTGCCAGTGTAATCTGTTTCCGAAACTTGTGCGCATCCGGATAAGTCGCTGAAGCATTGTCGAAGGTCGTGGGATTCCTGCAGATGGCGTCGATATTGTGGTTGCTTTACCTTCCGCCCTAAAGTCTCCCCTCTGTGTTCTTTTATAGACAAGTAACCCATTCGATTTCGATGTCCTGCCTAAGAGCGTCAATTAAAATCTTGCAGTATCAACCAGTTTCGTCCCTCTGAAGAAGTTGCTTTTGACTGACTGGCCTCATAACCAGCACGATGGTCCGTCTATATTTGTCCTTGATGGCGTGACGTTTTCCCGAGACATCAATTCGTCTTGGCGCCTGACACATTGGACTTGGGAGTGACTGCCTACATAGTTTAACACGACAGCACCACTTTTGCCAGCTCCAAGACAGATTTTCCTTGGTGATTGGACGTCCAATTTGTCATTCTATAATAGCCGCTGTTGACATTTTTCGTGGTGAGGCTACATGGATTGGCTGGAGCGGCATTTTTGGCATATCTGAGACTCCGAGCACGAACGCTGCCCGGTTGTTCGGACGGACGCTCGTCCTTGTCACACTCTGGTGGCGTGTGAGCTCAGCCGGCCCAGACCATTAGCTGCCCATAACACGGCCACTGAGGCACTCCCACGGAGCTGTATCGTCCGCCGCAGCTGCGCTCCCTCACAGTCGGAAATGGCTTGAATTGGCCCAGCTGTGGTCGCCGTCCCGCCGTTAATGGCTGAAATTCTGCTCGTTCCATGGGACGGGCGATTAATTATAATGGCCAGCTGCTGGTATAACCTCTCAAATGTTTGGGAGCAATTATTTCCATCGCGTGAACGTCATGGAGACCTGCAGATCGCATGTTTGAGCGCTCTTCAACCGCTCGCCCTCGAGCGTTTAGTCTTGTGCCGAAACTCCCACCACGAAACTCCCACCTATCACGATCCTTCGAGCCTACCCCCCAAAAGCTCTCCGGGCCTCTCAGTTGGCTCGGTCAGTAGACGTCGTCTCGCGGCTGCCGTGCCGGCTGCGCGTCAGCTGTTGGTGTTGTTATTGGCCTTGGGCAGCAGCCCCGTCCCAATTTGTCGGCATTTATTTGTTGATACAGCGCGTGGCATGTGCCATACTTGACGCCAAACTATGTCCTGTAGTCGGTTTTATTGACTCGGCTTGCATGGTTGCCATGAACTGGGAAATTTGCGGCGGAAAATCAGTTGATACGGTGCGCTCGAACCCCGTGAGTCACACAGCTCGAGTCTCGAGCCATACTCGACAGGCGGCTGCGGGAGCAATTACAGAAGAGCACTCCTCAAAGTGTGCCCTGGGGTAGGTGCACTCTCGAGAGAGCGGCAGATGCGTTCGGATGATGGCAGTAATTACCCAGCGTCAGCAGCCGTGGTGGTCTGCTCAGACATGTGGATCGCTGCGGGCATTTGTCAGAACTGCCCCGAGATCTTTCAAACTCTAACGTAAATGGGTTCGGTCTGACGTGAGTAATAGGTATGTCGCTCAGCGTATAGCCCCTCTACGAACGTGTCGCTTCCATAGACCGTCTCTCTGGCTGTCTCCTCTTTCCGCGCCGCTCGAGTTGTTGACCCGAGTGTCGCCCTCATCTGACCCGGTTTGACCTCTGGTGTCACCTCTGGGCGCTGCGTGAGGTTCGGTCGCCGCTGCCGCCCGATCAGACACGGCGGCTGATCCATCATCTGCGCACGGTGACCTCTGGTGACCCCGGCGACCCTGGCACCGCTGTTTAACCTCTGCGTCGCCGTGCGCGCGGCTCCCGCTGGGTCCTGCCGGCGCCGCTCCAGCCGGTGATGTATCGATGTGGTGATTTATCGTGACGGGAATCGCTGTGCCGTGGGTGGGAGCGTACACGGCGGGAGGTGGCCAACGGGAGGTGGTTGAGGTGGGACAGGGCTCCCTGCTGCTTTTTCCATGGCGTTTCCGTGTTTGTGTTAAAAAGAAACATCTACTCCCGAATATCTTGGCATTTGGCAATCACTGATAAGGGGTTACATAAGGTGAAAAGTATCAGATCTGAGCTATCGGATGATGGACTTTAATCATGATATTTGATCAGAAGGTCTTGAAGTATTAGATCTTACTTTTTCCATCCAGGCAAATAAGCAATTCTTGATGTGTTACTCTCATGTGTAAGGTTGTGCATTTTTTCAGCTCAAGGTTAAATAATACCGCGGAATGATGATCAAATAAAGTTTCTTTCATTTGCCTCATGAGTTGCAATAGACATAATTTACCTAATGGACATTATATAATTGTTTGTTAATAGGCCTGTTGAATCGCCACTGCGACGGAAGTCGCTGACCCTCCATATCGGTCACCACGTTATACCCGTGTCGCCGGGCGGGTGTGCTCCCTCGGACATGGATCGGGGCACCTCCGGGAAATCGCTGCCACTAATACCCCTGTTTACAAGGCTGTCACCACTCCCATCGACCGGTAATTGCCGCTCGCAACATCACGGATGCTCCTCGTACACGGTCGGTTTTGCGCCGCGGCAAAAAAATGAATGGCAAATGTCGTGACTGGTATACGACCGACAGGCCACGAAGTGCCTGTCTGGGAATGCACGCTCGCAGCGAGGTCGTTATTAAGGATAAACTGCGATTTGTTGCGTTCCATGATGTTGTCAAATATATTTTTGCTTAGTAATAGTCCATGTTTTCCGTGCAATTATAATGGTGGGAGGAACTAGGATCGCTGTCGTACTAGTGTTGTTTGTTCACGAATTACCATGCTAATCATTCATTTGGCAATAATAATGTGAGAATGGAGTCCCCGTTTCCGTCAGATGTCACGGCATTGCCTGCTTTGTCACGATTGCTTGTTAGCTTATTGCTGTGCAAAGCAGTTCTTTTTGAACAGCGATGGTGTTGTAATGAAGTAACTGATTACGGCTTAATGGCATACGGTTTCAATATTATATAATGTTGTTAATGCTGCTCGATACCCATAACGTAGCCCAAAATTGTCTGTGTCAGCCATGTGTCAGTTGCGTGTGCGCTCCGTGCCATCGCTCCAAATGTCGTCTGGTCTGCGACTTGTAAACCGTCATCTTTTCCCTGAACTTGTGACACCATTGGCATCGTCCATCTCCTAGCAGCCCCTTGCCGGACTAGGGGCAGTCCGCGAACTTCTAAACAAACATCTAACCGGTCTAATATGCAGGCTATTGTTCACGGACAGTACAGTTGCAAACAGGCCTGAGGCCTGGAGAAGCCCGGATCGCCGGTGAACTACTTTTGCATGCGAGATGTTAGCTGAGGTTCGCAACTCTCCGTCTTTGCTATATTGGTCATAATCGGACTTGACGGGCTAGCAGACATCTGAGAAAAATGAAGCCAATCTTTCGATCACAGCATATGCACATTGCACATAGTCAGGCTATCCGTTCTATCGGTTTTATTCAGCTCACCCCTAGCCCCACCTGGCCATTCCTGATTTATACCGTGATTGTCAGCCAATCGAAGTGACTGAGCTGCACGGGTGGTCTTAGGTTCCTCGTATGGAGCGCTGTCATAATCCTCTCACCTATCCCCGTATATGTTCGTGGCTTGGCTTCGGATCCAGCCGGGTCCTGGCTGGTCTTTTGGGGAGCCACGCCAGACATCAGATCGAACGCTGCATGACCTTCAATAACAAACACACGCTGGGTGCCGCAGTGGAGCCGATAGCGGTTTGGGGCGGGGATACCCGACTTGCCATTCAACATTTCAGTCTTGTTCAGAAGTTTAGGAAGCTGAAGGAGGCTGTCCAGCGTCTTCACTGAAACGCCATGCCATTAGTTAGCTACGATGCGCGTCTCTCCGCAGCGGAGACGGCGCTGTCAACTTGTCACGAGCTCAGAGATGGCCGGTCGTCGCGGGGCGGCACGATCAAAGGCATTCCTGACGGACAGCTGATTGGGCGGCGTCACTGATCACGTGACAGGCCGGCCGCTGGAATCTGCGCTGTAGAGACGGGATATCGGCGATGGGTGTATGGAAGTCACCGAGGTTACCTGCAGGCCAGCCGCCCAGGGTCACAGGGCGGCTCGTGGTGACGGTATATCTTGCATCCGTGTTATAGGTATCTCGTGAGAGGTATTCCGTGAGAGGTGGCTTGTGAGGGGTCACCGGTATCTGTTTGGGGTTATCTTCCTCCTGGGAAGGTGACCTTTACATGAGTAATGTTTGAATGTCACATCGTGCACTGGTGTCATGCACCGTGGTATCTCACGGGACCGCATAAAACTTCACGAAGATTACCTTTCGCCACCTCACGTGACCATTCAATGGTAACCATCTAGGGTCACGTGACTGTCTAGGTAGCGGTGCTTAGATCGACCACGTGACGGACTGACCGGGGATTTCACGGGTCACGTGACGTCGGCGGCGTCTGTTTGACGCGGCGCACTGATGATGGCGATAACTAGGCCATGATTAATTCGGATTAATGAGCTGTCCATGCTGGCAGCCGCCTCTCGCTCGTTTGATGAGCCGTCCCAGCGGCCAATGCCTTCTGAACCAAGCGAGAAATGGGAGATGGCTCATTCCTGGCTAATTTGGGCCGCTGTCGAGCTGAAACTGGACCAGAAATATCCTGGCTAGCTCAGAGAATCTGTCTTGGTCGTTAACTTCCAGCCATCAGTCCGTGATTCTTTGTAGAAAACTCATGACTCTCACGTCTCTAGCCTGCTACCCTTTGTAATGCTCATTTTGAGAACGACCTAAAGGTAATTTGGCCAAGTTTCAACGAACTTGAGATACTTTTCCCAAAGTAACGGACAGCGCACCATTTCCTGTCCAGTGTAGCAGCGCTGTCTGGCGAAATGTGGCCAGGTTTTCGCAGCAGCGGGCCCTTCAGCTGCTCACCTGGGACTGCGCGACGGCAGGCGCCGCCCCGCCGA